AAGGGAGAAAATACACAAACTCATTGTGCCACTTTTATATTCATTTCCTGCAAACTAGAGTAACGAAAAAATAAAGACAAAGCAAAAACAACAATGCAACAACTGCAACGCCGACACAAGAAAAGGAAAAAGCAGCGAATGTCGAAAATGGCAGGAAGGCAAACCGAAAGGGAAAAATACAAATAAAATAACTTTTTTCGCTTTTACATTTCAAATTTCGCTCAACTTTGCGCGCATCCATAACATTCCCTTTCACTGTCAAATTCGCCACCAACCTTTCAAGCCCGCAACAATTTTCCAGATTTTCCTGTTTCTCTCGCGTTGCTGTCTACATACTCCTTTGTGTGCTTTTGCTTTCACACACTCAATTCGACACATACATTCATACCATCGAGCTAGTACATCGCATCATAAGCCGTTAAGTGGGCCACATGACGTCGGCGCCCCTCATTTGTTGTTGGCCAAGCGCCACACCCCCACCCAGCCAGTGTGGTCGCCTGTAGACTGACCGGTTAATCGAATTTTATGACTTTAGCTGAGCATTTTGTGGTTGTGGAGGCGCACACAGCCAAACACACATGCAAATGGAAATGTCGATTGCCCATAATTTACGTAGAGGGAGGTGCGCGAGTAATAGACAAAGGGTGGGAGTTTGCTGGCTCACAATCAACACGACTACGCTTCATTGGCGTATATTGGCATGTGGTGGTCGCAGTTAATTTGATTGGCAAAGTGACAAAGTTTGTTCATTTATTTATTTACTCACACATTTTTTACACAATTTTTTTTATTCGTTTGAGGGTATGAATGGCATTCCTTAGAAGTCTGTACTTTTTGTGAAAAACATTTTGGGACATCACATTAGGGGAATGTCACATAGAGGACATTCCGTCCATTACCAGATACTTTACACAAGAACCGAGCTCAGGACAGGTGCACATCTTGTTGTGTCCATAAGAACATTGCTGTTCTCTTAGGTGACTGAAGTATGCGTATTCTCAATGCCACACTAATGGTTCTATATTCAGCCTGGAGTGGATCCCTTTAAGAGTATTGAATACTTAGTAAGTCTCGCTTCATATGCTTTGCATATACTTTCGCTTATACGCAGCATCTTTCTTATTCCCAAAGCCTAAGCTATGAGCCAAATTATCACATTTCACTTTTCTCAGTGGTTACGTCCTGTTCTTAAAGAACTTCATCTTTTTCCAGTTTATCGTCTTCAAAGTTCTCATGAAATGGTTCGCAATAAAGGTGATACCGAAAGCGAGATCAGCAGGTTCTCGTTGCTAATAAAAAATGGTGATACTCTTTTGTACCATAGAAACTGTCAATAAATGGTGAATCAGAGATGAGCAAACGTAGGAAAGGTCTAAGGTCTGCACATCACACTTTATCCCCATGGGAAATAACGTTCAACCAGGTGGGTGTACTGAAGATACTAGAGATAGACATGCGGTGCTTTAGCTACACCAGTGACTCTTTACATAAGTTGTTGGAGGAATCGTTTGTGAAGTTCACAGCAAAATTTGCTGGGTGAAAGTTTTCCGTTCCTAGAAGCCCGAAAGCTTATGACAGTCACGTTGAACAAGTACTGAATTATTCAGAGAGAAGGAGAAACTTTCCGAAAGAGATTACGATTGCACAGGCTTCTGGCTGACTTTGGTGCATCATGAGCGATAAGATCGCTAAATCAGCTCAAAGCCGGGCGCTGGTAAAGAAATGTAAAGCATTGGTTTCTGAACACAGAAGGTTAGTGGTGGTCTATGTTCCAATACACGCAAGCACGTTCAGCTCGTCCATGACCGGTGACCCAAACTATGTTCACTGAGTATTTCTATTAATAGTCTATTAATTAGCTTGGCGGCCGCGGTAGCCGAGTGGTTACCATCCTGGTGTCGTACTAACATCATCAGCTATATTTTCTAACAGCGGTTGCCCCTCGGCATGAAATAAAAAGCTGGTCATAAAAAACCATAAACCGTGCGAAGGCGGCTTAGTTTAAACTGTTGGCCCTTCCATTTGTTGGAAAAACATCAAGATTCAAACCACAAATCGGAGGAAGAGCTCGGCCGAAAATCGCTTTTGGGGTTACAAAGCCCCAATCGTATATAATTAGCTTAAGACATGCTCCTATCATTTAAATTTTGTGCTGGTAATGCCCACAATCTCTGCTTAGAAGGTAGCGTTAAAGTCATTGAGTTTGAAAGGTAGCTTAGTCTTATTGGGATGGTCTCTGAATCCTCCTGTTCCTGTGACTGCTTCAATGCTTTCCAATCCGTAGTATTTGCTATAAAGATAGCCGTACTAGTGTTACTGCTTGAACCCGAAAATGAATAAATATCTACTTATACAGAACAAGTCCCTGTAAATGACTCGTTTTCATGCGGCACGAAGTCAACCCCAGGCGTATGGAATTGACTGCATTAACTTCAACACCATTGCGGCAGGAGAACATTACAATCCTACATACAGACTTGGCAATTTTTTCTCGTGTTAGGCGATATCCGAAGTAACATGGACCTACACAGTAAAAGTCAAACCAAGTCTCCACTATATTTCTGCCAGACACTTCCCCCAGAAAGTCGCTGCAATGGTCTGCAAATCTGAGTATTGTGTAAAAGGTTTCCAACTTTGCTGTCCGCCTTCCACCTTCATCAATTAATATTTGTTAGTAGAAGGAGATTTGCGAACAAAACTATCAAGTGGAGCCAGAAAAATATGACAGCTTCCTACGACCGACGAAACCTCAATGAAAACATACTACGACATCAGGGTGCCAATTTGAAATATTTGTTCCATATCCATGACGCTTCTGATGTCTTTTTCGATGAAAGCCAAATTTTATCCTAAAAAAGTTTGAGGTAGATGTTAAAATTATCACAGAACGTGTTGTGTATGAAATGTGCGGATTAAAGTAGATTTGTATCATACACAAATTATATGTAACGTAAATGAAGTCCAACAAATGCAGAGCCCAACATGAAGTAACATTTTAAACAGCTGTGCTAAAATTGGCACGAACGTCATCGGCTTCAGTTACAAGCTCAAAAACAAACAATCGAGCGAAGCAAATGACGTCGTTGGCTGCTGTCAACTGTTTCCTTTGCTGTTCATATGCAACTCTGAATGTGGTTCTATGCAACAGCTGTTATCGAGCTGAGCGAGGGAGGATTGTGAGAAAAAATTATTTTTAGCTTCTGCTGAGCTTAACGCTTTCACATTGCACTTTGGCTTACACGCACACACGCGCACAGTCAAATATACTCGCATTAAAATGTTTTTATATATATTTTTAATCCAAAGGCAGGCGTAAAATAAAAACAAAACAAACTTCATATCTCAATACAATGCCCACCTCAACTTGCTGGTAGAGCAGGGTAGACGCCGGGCTGAGGGGTAAGATAAAGTTTACGCCAACGTCCTTTACAATAGTTAGCAATTCTGCCGGTAACGGTGCAATAAAACTTTTTCCATTTACACCGAACAATGCTACGGCTCTTGCACGCACGCAACCAGACACGAGCAATCGGGCGAGCAACCACGTCGTGGATGCAAGTGAGGGGCAAAAAAGGGCAAAAAACGAAAAACATAAGCGAAACTGAAAACTGCATGCAACGTGCAGCGAGGTGCAAGAAGTTAACTTCGCGTGTGCCTTGCTTGGTTGCACACGAGTGCACAGTGACAGATAGACTACCAACCGCACTCCAACTGCATGCAACACCAACTCGCAACACCACCATGGCTGGCCGACAGTCTGGTCGCCGTTAGTATTGTGGGCGCAAAGCTTTTGTAGCGTATCCTTGCATTAAAATCCTTTAACGGTGCCCACGATCCGCACGCGGCTCACAACGTTACTCCCACCACAAATCCCTTCGAGGAACAGTGGCGCAGAATATGCGAAAAATGTCCTATGTAGGAAAGCCGAGCGTTGCCTGCAGAGTGGTAGAACGTACGTGCTATAATGCGGGTAGGCATGGGTTCGAATGCTGGTGACAACAGTTTCCAGAATTCGGTTTGCTAGAGTCGGGTCATAGAAGGATTGAAGTGTGATATGTCTTGAATTAAGAGGGACGGAAAGAATTGGCTACTGTTAGGCTTAGGCTTGATGATAATGGATCGAATATGTTGCAATATACTTTATTGCCCGACTAATACGGTGATCTCAAGGTAATTCGAGTTATAAGTAGAGCGTAGAATATTGAATTCTTTATCACATTCTGCCCTTCAAATAAGGTTGCTGCTTACTGTATTTGCCTTTGCTGAGCCTTAGTAAATTTTCATGCACCGTGCGATGCTGCCTTTACTCCAATCTTGTTACTTTTACCACTTGTCACGTTGAGTGCTCACACTCTCAATTCTCGCACTTTCCCTCTTGGCATTTTTGCCGACGCCTCCCTTACACTAAGTACACGGAGATGTCATTTAAAGTGTTGCGGCCGTAATTTCGTACAACTTTTTCGCCTCTTTTTAGCTCATCATTGCATCCGTAGCATAGCTGTGCGCCTACCTGTCGTCGGCCTGCTCGTCTGCTTCCTATGAAGTGTCTTTGTTTTCTTGGAATTTAACAGGCACTGCATGCATGTGCACGCAACCATACACACACACACACACACTTAACTTACAATATGTGCAAGTAAGTGCAGTATGGCCGCAACATGTGTGCCGTGACGCCCATTCATCGCCCACTGACAAACACCTTCCCACCCGCCCACTTGATTCGCCACAAACAGGTGCGAGCAGGCTGACCAAGAGCCAGACCAAGAGCCAGACCAACCGAGCGACTGCGCGCCACTGCCGTCGGCAGTCGACAGTCGACAGTCGTTCGAGGCTTTATTTGTGTACGTGTACATTTGTGGGCTTTGACATTTATGGCATTGTGGTGGGCGAGGTTAACTCCTTGAAATAACTGAGCATAAGTAAATGCAAGAGTGTACTTGCATTGAGTGCGAGCATGCAACTCCTACCTCTGCTCATGCTCCTGGTAAGAACACAATTACCTTTCAATGCAGTTTCAGTTTTCGCCAACAACTTTATTAACTGCTCCATGCTTGTTTACAACTCTGTTGGAATCTGTTCGGCGTGTGCGTGCGTGTGTGGTTTTGATTGTTATGACGCAACTGATGAGGTCACTGAAAGCTTTTCGTTCATGTCTCCTACACACGGCTCCAGTAATAAATGGCATTACGCAATGCGTTTGGCAAACTTTCTCGAGCTTACACGCTTGCATATTTTATTGTTGTTATAATTGTATATGTGCTTGAAATATTCTGAAAATTTTAATAGCTGCAAGACTACAACAGGACTAAACTTTATTTAACTTACCAACATATTTTTGTGATTACTGTCTGCAGGTCTTACAACTGCTGGCTTGACTCAAGTGACATTTGCCCTAAAGTACGAAATTTAATTATTAGTGTATGTTTCTAAATAAACAAATTATGGTAGCCTGCTGGTCTCTCGGCTGAGCCATTCAGCCGCGAGGAAGAGACAAAGAGCAGCTTCTTTACAAAATTGGTTTGGTTGAGTATCCTATTTGTTCCTTTCCATCCATAAAAGGCGACTTCCAATTATCATTCGGGAAGTCTCTTCAATTTCGCATAAGAAGCCTCATCAAACGCATTGTGTGAAAGATTAAAGTCCGCCGTCAACGAACTGATCGGACTTGTTAGAAAGGATAGATAGTCAGCACCTCTCCGTCTTCCTTTGAGAGGAGGAAAAGTTTATACGGCTGTGGCCAGTATAAGCAACTCTTTATGCCAAACTTGGATAAAGAAGCGAAGATAATGGGTTTGATTGTGTGTATCGTGACTTCTAGAAGTTGTCGGTTCAAGTCGATTTTGGGCCCTCTTAACTCATATTTATAACAATGGAGATATGTCGTTCTCTTCACACTTGATAAAGAAGCAGGCGAATGAGTCTGGAAGTGAACGAGGAGAAGACGAAATATCTCCTGCCATCAAACAAACAGTCATCACATTCGGGACTTTGCTCCCACGTCACTGTTGACTTCGAGGTCGTAGATAATTTCGTTAATCTAGGGACCAGCATCAACAACAATAATAATGTCTAGCCTAGAAATCCAAGGCAGAATCACACTTGCCAACAGGTGATACCTTGGATTAAGCAGGCAATCGAAAAGTAAAGTCATCTCTCGGCGAACAGAAACCAAACTCTACTAGTCGCAGAGGCGTGACGATGCCAACAGCTGATGAGTCGGCTTTGGGAGTCTTCGAGAGAAAAGGATTGCAAACGATTTATGGTTCTTTGCGCATTGGCAACGGCGAATACCGCACACGATGGAACGATGATCTGTTCAAGATATACGATGATTTTGACATACTTCAACGAATGAAGAGAGAACGACCTGGCTTCATTTTTTAACTTAGCTATTTTCGCCACAATAGTATTGGGTACGGTCATTCGGAAGGCCAGAGTTCGAGCCCCTCTACTGAGAATGTCAAGCCCTCCGAATATATTTCCGACACCTAGTAAAAGCTCTTCAAAGAGATTCATCGGCCGTTCGGAAGTGGGTTAGTATAAACTGTATGCCCCTCTTTTTGCTGAAAAAAGAAGGAAGGATGAACTCGGCCGAAAATCGTCAATTATATATGTATATATATAATACATAAGCAGCTCCCTTTCGTCATACCCACTGCGCGCTATGACATCAAAGATGTAGACAATTTGCAACCAGTATTGAAGAGAAAAAAGTTCAATGGTCCGCAACTCATAGGTACATTATTCCTGGCCGTCCGATTACATTGAGTTTGAAATAAAAACCAAAGCTGCCTTGAAGGAAAAGTAATAACTATAAGTGCCATGTCCTTAACTTTTCTTTGAGAAGGATATTCTTTTTTCATAGTGAGCCTCAAGGGATCCCATATTTTATTGGAGCTTTTACATACGTAGATAGCTACTGCTGTGAAGCTTCTGTAGCATCTCGGTATCAAGCATTTTATGTATATGTGAGAAGTTATAAAAACTCGACAAAAACAAAAACAAAAAAATGTAGAAATTCTAGTAGCCAAAAAACTCGTCTTAAATTTCATTGCTCACTAAAATCATAATACAACGCTCATCCCCGGCAAACAACGCGAATACTCGATGCACGGGTGAAATATATACTCCACGCGGACAATGGGGTAATCCAAAACTAACTGTAAACAATACATTAAAATATGGTCCAATTAACATTGCGACGTCCTACGACTGGACCGTATACTCCATTTCTGCATAAAATCCCACTAATCCTTGGAGTACATAAATGAAATTCGTTTTGAAATTAATACAAAAATTACGCTGTGGAGTGGCTACAGTGGGTTCCATTATGGAGTATATACGAGACCGTTGACATTCGGCTAGCAACAAGCTGATAGAGAATCGTGAGTTGATCCAAAGTACACTACAGAGGAGTACCTATTGGATTACTTCAATGGAGCAGATAGTCCAAAATTGTTGTAGGGTATGTGCATAGAAATGTATGTGGTAAGTGGTAATTTTTGTTTGCTTTTAACTTGGGCAACGACAGCCAAGCAGCCACAATCGACGGTCGCTGCCAGAGTAAAGTGGCAATGCCCCGAAGCACTTCAAGTAGGTAAACTGGGATTTGTGACACATTTTACAAACACCACACCATACATACTTATATATATATACGAGCATGTGTCTATATGTTAATATATATGTATACACCAAAGCAGTCTGCCTGCTCACCACTGAAGCAGTCGACACTTCAACCGACAGGACTTACGATTTACGAGACGTGAAATGTGAGTGGCGGCGCGTAACCCAAATCGTCACGGTCATGGCTATTGTGGCAATATGCATACTTACACATATGTTCATATTCACATAAACGTACAAAATGTTATTAACAGCCAAATCGAGTTGCCTCGCTGTGCAGCGAATGCGACAATCATGGTATTGCCGAAGTGGAAGCACTCCACTCGGATTGTCAAATCATAGTAAACCGCACTAAGCGCTGCCAAGCCGGGCATATTAATTCATCTTTACGCGTCCGCAGAGAGTTCGGTCGGCATCGGTTTTGGTCGCCGTTAGATTTTTGGTTTTTGCTTATGACTTTTGAGGGATGGATGGCTGTAGAGGCTGACGGAGAGTTCGAGTGGAAGTATTCTCGAGCACCGCTGATAGCTTTTGATGGCTCAAATGCACGTGCAACCCTCAAAAGGGCAACAATAACAAGTTTTCGTTGTATTGATTTCTTATTGAAATATTATGATTGCCTGACTGGCCTGGCTGGCCTGACGCTAACAAGCCTCAAACCAAACAAACACTCTCTTGCCTATGCATTTGTATATATGTATATACAATATATTTCTGTACTTATTGGCTTCGATAAATATGTAAGCGGCCTTTTATTTGTTCTGTTGCGCGTTCTCACTCGCCTACTGCGAGTACTCTCGCTACTTACTTACCTACTCACTTAACTTTCTCAACTTTTTTGTTCCTGTAATAACCTTCGGGAGTAGGATTAAATGTGTGAGCATATGCACAATTAGGGTGGGCATGTTGTCGCGTTACGCCAGACTAAATGGGCTCAACATTAAATATGATTGTTGTTGGGTTGCCAGTTAGCCATTCAAGCAACCGGATGTGAATGTGTGGGTTGTTAATATTTTATTTAATTGACAGCGTGTCAAAAGGGGGCGAAACTTGACAATGTCATTGCAAAAACTTTGTTGCTATTTTTGTGTGGAAATATATTTTTATAGGAATTATGACGGAAATTTTCGTCTTAACAGGCAAGAACGCTGTACTCCTAATCACAACTGAGGGCTAGGAGGCTAACAAATAAAATAAGGGGTGACACATTTTGGTGGGAGTCTATATTTTGGAAGACTATGGGCATAAAGAGAGCAAGAGGAATTGAAGAGTGGGAACCTTCTAGAGTTTAAAGCTTGAAGATGAGACTCTGTGTAGAAGTTCAAGGGAAGAAAGTTTTCATTCATTCACGTGGTCTTCGACCAAGTATTCTCTGGGTGGGCAAACAGAATATCTTCAGAATCACCCCAAAGGGGTCAGGGTCGACTTCGCCGGCTTCGAAATGTGATCGTCTGTAGTATTAGATTTCAGCATAAGATAGTTCATTTGTCTCTGGATCGAAGAACACGCAACCAAATCGACCATGTTGTGATTAGCGGACGGCAGTGTTCTAATAAAACACTGACATATGAACCTACGGAATAGCTTACTGGAATTCACTACTCAAACTCAATGTTTAACACTGACTTAAAAAAATGCTCCTCAGGTTCACAATGACCCATTTGAATAAAGATGAGGTCAACAAATCTATCTGGTCTAACGAGATTGAGCTTTGTTGAAAGAAGACCTAAATGTTTAATGTGATTTTAAAAATAACATAGACTCAGAGATTTGATCAAACTTCAATCAAAGCAACATAAGGCATTTTTACTGGAATCGGCTTAAGATTCTTCCTTCAGAAAAACAGCCCTTTGTGGTACCGTAGGACGGTGTAATGCTAACCACTCAGCTGCCGCGGCCGCCAGTTGGATATTTACATAAAAAATAGATATTCCCAAGTAAGGTTAGATAAAAGGAAGTGATTTTAATACCTCAGACAGGTGGTTAGGCTGGTTCACATTTCAACAAATTTATCCCTTGTCCTTTATAATATCACTTTCCGCTCCGACTCTGGCGTTGTTATAAAAATCAGGGGTTGGATGCTCCTTTTCCGAGAAACTGAACATTTTCGTCTTTCACTTTGTCTCCCAAGTTTGGGAAGTATCACACAAGAAGAAGTAGAAGAGGTTAGAAAATATTACCCGAACATTCAAGCAGCACTATAGAAATCGTCATTAACATTCACACGATGGTATTAAGCTCTCTAGCCGGCGAAAATAGCACCTATATAACGACGGTGCTGCATTTGAGATCATAGAAGGAAAAACGTATTTGGATCAAGACCTAATCTTGTCTTAACGAATATGGAAAAGATGGAAAAAATTCTGCTTGTGTAAAAATTGGGGCTCAGAACCTCTACATTCTTAAACTTAGTTAGCGTAAACAAGTCCTAAACCATTAAGGTCAACCTCGGCATATGATGCTACTTTGTATAGAAACATTAAGTGAGTTCCTTTAGCTTAAAATTTCTTGGTTTTTATATGGAGGTACTATGTGTACATCGAAAATATTCGAATTGCTAGTGGTAGTTCCACTAGAAGTGTTGTCCAGGATCTTCGCTTTCGGAGCAAATTAACTCTGAGATATGACACTACATCACTGC